ATATTTTATACATTTTTTACGAATATTAAAACGTATTATTACCGTATACAATTCTGTATATAAATTTCTTATAGGGAACGACCTTATTGAACAACCTTTCTACTGACTTCAACTCCAACAACTCTTTACTACCTTCTCTGATGTATTTTTTAATTGTAACAATTCACCTAACATTTACACTGATAGTTCATTAATAGATGTTACAATAGTTAATAGTCGTATGGGTATTAGTTGGATCTCTCCTGATCTATATAATCATGATCAATATTCTTTTTCTGCTGCCATTCAACATCATCCATCTTCAACAAGAGCTGAATTATTTGCATTACTGACTGCTTTAATTATTTGTTCTCCTTTCTCATCACTAACAATTTTCTTAGACAGCCAAGCTGTAATTCAAGGATTCCACAGTCTATTTAACAATGTTCATATGACTTGTTCTGTTAAGAAAACTCCAAACTTTACTATTTGGACTTTGATCAAACATATTGTTATCTCCCTCAAACTACAAGTTTCATTTGTCAAAGTTAAGAGACACTCAGATGATTTCTATAATGATAAAGCAGATTTATTAGCAAAACAAGGATGCCAACTCACTCCTCTTACATTAAATATTACTTCAATAGAGAATAATAGATTTGTGCTATCTTTTAAGAAAGTTTTTATTGAATCTTTTGAAGGATCTTTGTATTGCTTCACAATTTTCTGAATACTTAGAAATAAATAGAAATTGTTCGATCAAACAACAGACCTTAAATAATGAAATATCTTGGCCTTCAACTTTACTTTATTTAGCTGATAATGACAATGAAAATAAATCCTCTACTTCTTTCTTACAACAAAGTAAAAAGACTTTTAAAATTAAACTCCTTGCTGAAGAACTACTCACATTATCAAAATTAGAAATCAGACGTCCAGATATTTATAAAGGCTGGAATTAGTCTCTTTGTAACACCACTCCTGAAACTGCTAATCACTTATGGACTTGCTTCTCTAATAAGGTTAAATTGATCAACATATTTGCGGAACTCATGGATTTTGCTGATGATCTACTTCTTTCTAAAATTAATAACAATAGATTACACTCTTACCTCTCGATCAAACAACAATTTTTGGAATCATTTAATTTTACCTCAAATCCCACTAAGTTTATATAATTGGTGAAAGGTTTTATTCCCAGATCTTTAATTAATCACCTTAGATCCCTTTTTTCCCAATTAATTGTGGATCAAGTTTTAGTTACAATTTTGGGTAAATTAAATGACTTTATCTGCAAATTGATTTGGATTCCTCATTGCAAAGTCATGGTTAGTAAAGAATAATCTCTTAATATTGGAGTTAAATTGAAGGAAAAAAAAGTAAAATATAAAGTCAATGGCCAACCTTCTTATAAACTGAGGAAGTCTTTGGTTGATAATTGGAAAACTTGATTATATTTGGCTCTCAATTTTGGTTATTTCTGGTGTGACTTCTTGGGACAGTACTAACATGTTCATTTAGATTTTCATCATTTGTATTCTTCTTGAGAATTTTCTTTAGGAGGGTACTGAGGGAGAATTTTAGTGATTGGTCGATCCAAACGGGTTTAAAATGGAACTACGAGGGATAGTTAGTCTTTATTTTTTTGTATTTACTTTTTTAATTTTTAATCTAGTTATTATCATACAATTTATTAATAAAG